ATTCTAGGAAAGATTTTGGCCATCTGCTTCTGAGTGAGCCTCATAGAACCTACATTTGAGAAAAACAGCAGCAGATGAGTCTTAGGACAGCCAGTTCCATCGTATTTGTCTATGTCAGGCATCGTCGAACTTTTCTGGAGATTTTTCCTCTGGAAAAATGGTCAATCCCTTCCAAACTCATTGCAAGCCAAAAAGCATCGCAAATTACTATTGCATGCTTCCTTCATACTTGGCGATTTCCTTCGATCTTTCGTACGCTTACAACACTCAATAAAAGAATAGATCCATTAATCTTTGTAACATGGTTAAGAATTTGTTTATTATTGTACAAATTATTTCTATCATTCCAAATAGTCCACAAAATTGCCACTACTAAATCCAGCTCTTCCGATATTAGTAGATCATTCATCTTCTCCCAAACTGGCCCCAAGCCTGGGATGCATCCAACCAAAAAGCTGATACGAGGGAACACGATGTCGCAAGACTTGTTTCGCTCTTGGGGATTCAAAAAGCGTGTGGTACATCATCTCCACTTCCAATTTGCACATAGGACATAGAGGGTGATACATTAATTCATCTAGTCCTTATATTACTTTTTTTGGATTGAGATTATGCATAGCTGTCCACATATTAAATTATGAAAAAAAAACTTCCAATCTTAAAGATTCAGGAGGAAGCTCCTCCTAAATTCCTACGTGGCCCAGTAACGTATAGACAAGTAATTTTTTTCAATTTTGCATAATTCCTACGTGGTCAGTGGAGTTTTATCCTTAAATTATTACTTCTTGAGTTATTACTTCTTGAGGTTCAAAGATTAAAGTATTACAAATTTAAGACTAAATAGTTACCTACCACAATCGAGGGACTAAGTCATTACTTTAATAAAAATACATAGATGAAAAAATATATATCTTTTGCCTCTTGTTTTTTTTTTCTTTTTAATGAACTTAGATTATAAAAAAAATTAATACGACAAAATTTTGCATCTCACAAGGCAAGAAAAAATTAAATATTTAAATGATATAATATGTTAAATTTCTTGTCAAAATTTGGGCTTAGCCCTAGTTATGCCTTTGATGGAAGAATATCCTTTCCTTGTATTATAGAAATATATAATATTTTCCATTGGTCTGTAAGAATTATAATATTTTCTTGTGTACCGAAGCGAGCATATAACAGTAATATTGACATATATCTTTAACGAATAGGTTGTGAGTTTGATCCTCACCTCCACTCGCTCTCCTCCCTTCCGCTAATGCGAATATCCCGTTCTTGGTTCTTAAATAAAGATATGTCTCCAGCCCCTGTTATGTTAGCGTCTTTAATCTCATCTATTGGTTGGAGYTCTCTTCGGGAAAGAGTCTAAGCTGCCCGCCCATTTCTTCTTCAATTTCACAAAGAAGATTTGAGTGGTTTCAGCCTCTTCTCCTATAATGTTAGACGAGGTGCCTTCTGCTCTCTTCRATTTAGCAAGCAACTGAGTGGCTTTCGCTCCTTGGTCTATTGTCTATCGATGTCTTGCCCCACCTCTCTTTATACTAATAAATATTATATTTATTTATTTATTTATTCTCCAAAAGGTACTAAACTAATATTATTAAGGTTCAAATACTGCTTGATTATTTTGATTTTTGTATTTTAACTTTCGTTCATTTTAGTTCCCATATTTTTAAAAAGTTTGTTTTGGTCTCTGTATTTTTTAAAAAGTGAACATTTTGATTTCTATTGGCAAAATTTGAGCACAAATTTTATACCCAATAAAATTCCTTTAATACAAATTTATTGTTACATTTCAAGAAATTTAGTGAGAGAAGTTTTATGCTAAAATTATGATAGAAGAAAATTATATAAAAATAAAATGATTTTTTTAAAAACAAATGACAAAACTAGTGTATATTTGAAAGTAATTACCCTGCGATTTGACCAAAATTGCAGGCGTGGACTGTGATTTCATCGTAAATTGCAATCATAGTCTACAACTAATGTCAAAAATTGCGATCATTGATCGCGATTTCACTAAAGTCATATCCATTGACTGCGACTTCTCCTTGACATAGCTCTATTGGAGCCACGTCTCTGCTGACAACTTCCCTTGTTCTTCTTATTTATTTTCTTTTATTTTGAATTTGGAGGTTGCAGCCCCACTAATATCCCTTTGTTCATCTTTTTTTTTTTAATTAGACTTTAAGAAAAAGACTAAATTGTATAATCTTAATTTTCTCCATATTTGGAATGATCATAGATCATGCATTACCTACAATATGATGAAAATCTTCCTCTAATGCAATATAAAACAAAATAAAAATTCTAATTATCCATATCCCATATTCAAAATGGCTCTAAATCCCAAATCAAATCTGAGTTTTGTTTGAAAGCAGATTTTTTTTGTTTTTTTATGAAATTTTAGTGAAGAATAGAGAAATTTTGCAATATTAATAAAATAACAATATAAAAATTGAAATAGAAAAAAAAAAGTTTGAAGTCGCGTAACATGTATGCGACTTCCACCTAGTCACCTACCACATTAAATATACACGTTTGTATGGAAATCGCAGGCGTGAGTTTTGACTTTTATTTTGACATAACCTATTTTTGCCAATAGTTTTGAAAATTACGTTTGAATTTATTAATTTAAATTACATTTATTTTGTAGTTATTTTTAAACTAACATTATTTTTGTAATTTATTTTTAAAACTCGATCATTTTGAAACTTTGTCCAAAAATAAAATTTTGGAAACTAAATAAGACAATTTGAAAATACGGAGATAAAACGAACCAAAACGAACCAAAACGAGTAGTGCAGGAACAAATTCACACATTTCAAATAAATCAAAGCCGAAAATACAAAGACCAAAATAATATTTAAATATATTATTAATAATAGTCTTTATTTCTCAAAATAATAATAATAATAATATTATTAATAATAATAATGGTGATGATGATGGTCTGATCCCTAGACAATCTCTTTTATTATCTTTCATTATTAAATGATTTATTTATATTGACAAAGTTTTTCTTTTCTTTTTTTAATTAATGCATCAATCAAAGTTCATCCCCTGGTCTTCATTAATATTACTATTATTATTAATGAATCCCCCCACTTGTTGTATGCTTGACTTGTAAGTTATAAATATTTGTCCCTAAAATCATAGCTTATGACCTTGAAAAGTTGTTAATATTTGTCCTTAAATATAGGTTATGTCTTTGAACTTAAGTTAGTAATATTTTTTATCCTTTAACATTATTAGATTTTTCCAAAGAAAGTTTTACTTTTGCCTCCAAACTTAGAATTTTACCCAATTCATCCCATTATAATTTAGACAGATAAATATGTTTCGAACTTTGCTTTGTATTAGACTTCGGTTGCATTTTTTATAATGCAACAATATGTAGGGGCTAAAAATTTGAACTCACGACAAACTTTGGTTGCATTATGATAATTTCAACAGTAAAAATCTAAAAAAATCTATTAGTTTAAGAGAAAATTAAGCCACACATTAATGCATAAAATCAAACCTTACCAAATGAATCCACAAAATCTAACTTTGAATAAATCCCTCAAAATTAATTAATTTAAAAAAAAATTAAATTTAACTTTTGGTTTTCTCTATTAATTTATTAATTTATGTTTTTTAGTAAAACATGTGGAGTGGATGATCGAACTCACAAATTTGAAGTATATACCAATAACCGCTGAACTATGCTCACTATAAAAACCTTATTAATTTCTATCTAAGCATCTACTTATGACTCATTGAATCATGAGAATATTTTTTTAACTATTTTTCAAATGAAAGTTTAATAAAAGATAAGAATTATAATATTTATAATATACATATAAAACATAAATTCCATTGTTTTTAACAAAATATATATATATATATATATATATATATATATAAATACATATACATAAAGGAAAAATAATATAGAGTTTTTTTAGTACAAAATAATATAGAGTTGAAAAGATAAAAATAAATGGATCCTAAAAGTTTAGATAATTACTCCCTTTAATTTAAATTCATCTGGTAAATCTATCTTCTTTCAACAAAATTAATGTGTCAACTTGAACATAGCAAAATCTAGTCGTACTTTGAATTTTCACTCTGYGCTAAGAAATTAAATTAATCTAAATAATAATAAAAATATTCTTGTATGTTTATCTGTTCATACCAACTAAATTAGAAAATTAACTTATTGATAATTGAAAAGAAAAAAAAAAGAAACAATGATCAAACATCTTTATTTTGTTTTCACATAAACTACAGGGCCATTTAGGATGCATGAATTGGAATGGGATTTTTGAGAAATATTAAATTCCATTTTTCTTTTGAATTCTAACATTTTCTAAATATTTTTTTTATGAAAAAAAGAAAAAAAAAGATTGAAGTTGAATCTCCCACCAGTTCATTTTGTGGGACAAAACAAAACTAAAAAGGTCAAAGCATTAGTCAAACATGGTCCTCGCCCATAGGTTTGAATTCTACCATTTGCATGGTAAGATCCTTAAAAATATAATTTATATAAAATTTAAAAGTTAATGTACAAGTTTGTGGAAAGTATGTCTAATAAATCTTGAGCTCAAGCTTTCAATTTTATGTAACTAGAAATATAAGCAAAATAACAAAATAAGAAAAATACAAAAGTTGACATAGAAACTCTAAACGGGAGAAAAAACCACGGCTATAAAAATTATTAAAATCACAGCTCACAAAGAAAAATTCACTATAAAAATTATTAAAATCACATATATTGTGAATAAAATATTAAGTCATGAACTTTTTTTATAACGTTGTAGTACATATTTTTTGACGGGACAATTCACCCTTCTAATATTTTGCCAAAATTCAACAATAGTGACTCACGTCAAAACAAAAGTGTATTTATATTTTAAAATTAAATAGATAAGTTCAACTCAATACACATGGTGACTCGGGGGCAATTGAGTAAATCCGTGTGGCAAAGTTGAAATTGATGAAACCCAATGAGAACAAAGCGAAGCCCCATGGCAGGAGGAGGAGAAGGCCCAGTGTAGATCTCAGCGGAGCTTCGTTAACTTCGAGAGAAGAGAATCAGTGCATCTCCTAGAAGGCAGAGCAGATTCAAGCTCCGCAAAAATCCGCTTCCATGGGCCTGGAGATGGAACCCCTCGCCGCCTCCATTGGCATCTCCGTCCCCGTTCTCCGCTTCCTCCTCTGCTTCGTCGCCACAATCCCGGTCAGTTTCCTATGGCGTCTCGTCCCCGGCCGCCTCCCCAAGCACCTCTACTCCGCCCTCTCCGGCGTTCTTCTCTCTTACCTCTCCTTCGGCTTCTCTTCCAACCTCCATTTCTTGGTCCCCATGTCCCTGGGTTACGCTTCCATGCTCCTCTTCCACCGCCATTGCGGCTTCATTACCTTCTTTTTGGGTTTCGGCTATCTCATTGGCTGGTATATTTGCATTCCCTTTTCGTCGAATTTGTTTAATTACTCACTCGATTATTCGTTTGCGAGGGTTTTGATTCATGGGGTTTTATTAGATTGCAAGGCGTTGATGATCTTTGATTGCATATTGTGTGTTGTGTTGCTTAAATAAGTTGTTAATCGTAGTGGGTGGTTCCGATTTTGTACTTCATTGCATGCAACTAACTCCCTTTTGTGTTGGTTGACTTGGAATAGTTTGAGTTTAAGTCCTCTGCTTTTCTCAGAGGAGCTTATGGATTCTTCTAGTGATTTTAAGTGAAAGTGATTCTTCTAGAAGCAGTTTTGGGAAGATGGCTAATAATGTGTTTCTCTTAATGGTACTTTAAGTTATTTCTAGTGTTTTTAGAACTATAAAAATCACTTTTGATTATCTAATAAACACTATGAAATTTTGAAAAGTGCTTTTAACGAGGCTAAAAACACTTTTCACCTTTTCCAAACTCATCCTAAACTCACCCAAGTGCAGGTAAGAAGTTCAATTGGGTCTTTTAGTCTTGTTACAATTATAGCACCAACAAAGCTGCATTAATTCAGTAATTATCCCAGAGCTTGTGCTTCATATGTAGTAGAGATGACTTCCTTCTGAGGTCCTCCGTCCATCTTAAAATCTCCGGAACTATTTCATGAGGAGAGCTTCATTATTGACTTAGTTCTGCCAATACCAAGACTACCAAGGTCTAACGGGAGAGTGACTGTGTTCCTTTCCTCCATCCACCTACCTGGTCACAACTGACAACTTCCATCAGATATAATAATACCTACCCGTATAAAGTTTCTAATAATTCTGTCCACTTTGTACAAATAAGCCTTGGAGAAGTGAAAGCTGAGAATAAATAGTTGTGGAGGTTGTGAGGGACCCAGTTGGATGAGTGCTAACTGTCCCCTTTTGGAGATATAACCATGCTTCTGTTTGTCAATACTTTGTTCTACGTTTTCATTCTAGAATGAAAAAGATATTGGATTACCTCTTATTCTTAGAGACATTCCAAAAATACACCAAAGGCAATGAAGCAATCTTGTGGTTCCAAATCTTGGTCATTAGGGACATGCTTGAGTCATTCAGGTTAATCCCTATATTGCCAAGACATTTACTCAGTGAGATTGATCTTAATGCCCGAAGTAGCTTAAAAATCTTGATTAAATATAAGAGATTTTTACTTTTATTTTATGGCCATGAAAGTAGAGTATAAAAAGGGTATCGTTGAAGGTGGGAGATTTGAAGTTTGTTTCCACCAATTACAAAAACCTCAATGAATGAGGCCATCTTAAGGCAACTTTTCCCAGGAGGCAGCTCAAATAATGTACAACAAGGACAAAGAAGAAAGCTGAAAGGAGAGATTTCTGGCGGATTCATCTTTGGGCAATTGGGCTCTTATTTTGCTGCCTGGTTTGCCATTGGCTAACTCAGAGTAAGAGACAACTCAGGGTAAGAGACACTGGCAATACATCTTTTGAGGTCAAATTTCTACTCTCGGAGGCAAAGCCTTTTAAATCAAGGATGTTGTTCAAGGATTTCGTTGACATTGTTGAAAGCTTTTTTAATTTCATCTTTAAAATAACCCTTTTGGTGGACATCTTGCATAGTCAACTACTTCATTGGCATTTGGCAATCAAGATAGGGTTTGTAACCTCTCTACCAGCCATGAAAGTTGGTATACAAGAACAAATTAGCCTATGCTTATTATGATTGGGAAGTTATGCCTGATCAGTATCTTTGATACTCAGTAGAGCTCTGTCAGCATGCGAAGGATTATAGTCATAAATAAAATCTATGCCCTTGTTTAGAGTCTCCACAATTTTGTACATGTTATAGTGAAAACACCTTGAAACCTTACAAGAAAAAGTAAAAAGAGAAAAAAATTCTTGAAACAACTATGATGTTTCTTAGCTGAAAAGCTCCTCCTTGTATGTTTTCATGATTACTAGAAATACCACTATCATTTTCCTTTGAGTGGGGCAAGAGAAGAAGGCCTTGACTAGAGAGATAGGCTTCCAGAGATAGCAGATAAAAAGAAATGCGAGGCCTTTTGGTGATCTACGGTTGTTTCTAGAGAACAGGATTTTGAGGAGGAAGCCAAGCTACAAATCTGCCAATCAGCAGCATGCTTAGAAAAGTTTTCCAGCCTCTGTTTGTCAAACCTTTTGGAACCATGATTCAACAGTTTCTTCCATGATTACCAAATCTATAAATTCCAGCAATGTAGCCTTCCTGCTTGAAAATTTTCAATGCAGAGCACATAATCTTCTTCTTAACAACATTGCTAAGCCRTTTAACAAAGCCCCGACCCCGATCTACAAAGAAGAAAGCGACAATCTCTTGTTCATCCAAAGATACTTTGACCTTTTTATCTTGTCAATGAAACAAGGTGGAAGATGAAAGTTGAAAACCTTTTAARGCTAAGAGGAGATAAACTTAAAAGCTAGTTAGAGGGGAAGAAGTCTGAAGTCCATAAGAGGTAGAGCAAACAGCGAGAGATTAATGATGGGAAAGCGGTTGTGGTTTCCGGGAGAAAAGCCAAACATGCAGAGTGCAGAATTATTTTGGCTTAGAGGTTCTCGTGCACTAGTATGGTACAACTACAAGGACTGTGTTCCTTTTCTGATAAACTAATAATATAATCTTACCAATGTCATTCTGCTGATTTTTTAGAGTAATTGTCTCAGAATATGAGTGCGTTTCTTAGAGAAATGGTCTTAGATATCATTCTCTGATGGTGTGCGTACTCCAAAGGAATGAATCTTTATGCCATATCTAATGTTGTGATATTTTTTTTTTTGTTTTTTTTTTTATT